GTGTAGACAGGTAGAAGACAGACATGAAGAGGCTGGACCTACGAGTGGGGGTGGGTGGAGCAGAGCAAAGGTCCCCTCTCCTGGTGCTGGAAATCTCAAGTCAAGTCCCTAATCTATTGGTACCAGGGTGGTGGAAGTCTCCCCACATATATATTCTTCTGTTTTCACTTGGAGGTTTTTTTGGCAGAGGAATGAAAGACCATGGAGTGCTGAGCTGGGGGCAGGAGTGGAGAGAGAGAGCACAGCACTGTACAGTAAAGTTAACATAGGTGTTTTTCTAGAATGTGGATTTCTTTCAGCATTCTTTATATAAAGTTGAATTTGGGTGATGCAAATTTACATAAAGTAAGAATTGACTGTAGATGTCTACTGGTCTATTGATAATGGGGATCACACTGGACGGGGGCTCATGAGCAGCAATGTTGAAACTCCAGTCCCTCAGGTTTATCCCTAGAACCCTGTGAAGAGTAATAGTCAGCTACCCTATAAGGGAGTAGAAGTTGGGGAAGTGACCCCAGGGGGATTTTGGGGTGGTGGTGGTACTATACTAACATTGCTTCTGAAAAGATCATGTCATTACTCTCTGGACACTGTGTACCCTCTCAGTGCCGCCTTTGTATGAATTTCCAAGCTACATGTGAACCATTTCATGCATGTTCCCCAGACATACACGTTCCCTATGAATGCCTTTCCCTCTGTGTTCTTAAATCATGCATAACTCCAGGATCTGCTCTCTCCCACTGGTGGTATAGTATATAACTCCCTTTTGCTTTGAACTAAAGTACCCCCTGTTTGGCCCAGAAAACATATCCATCAGTGGGTGATGCATTTTGGTTATTTATTTATTTATTTATTTGTGAGGCAATCGGGGTTAAGTGACTTGCCCAAGGTCACACAGCTAGTACATGTCAAGTGTTTGGTCTGAAGGCGGATTTGAACTCAGGTCCTCCTGACTTCAGGGCCAGTGTTCTATGCACTGCACCACCTAGCTGCCCCTAGGGTGATGCATCTTGGCAGCTGCGGGGAAGATATACATACATAGGCAGTGGTGACTCAGAAGGGTGTTTTGGCCTGGGAAGTCACAGAGATGGCCAGTGGAGTCTTAGAATAGTAACAGTTAACATTTATATAGCACTTATTATGTGCCAAGCACTTTACAATTATCTCATTTGATCATCATAACCACCTTGGGAGGTAGGTGCTATTTGCCTTAGGAAACTAAGGCAAACAGAAGTTAAGTGACTTGCCCAGGGTCACACAGCTAATAAGTGTCCAAGACTGGATTTGGACTCAGGTCTTCCTGATTCCAGGCCCAGTGCTCTATCCACTGAGCCACTTAGCTACCTTAGATAGTTGATAAACACTCCTACAAGCAATAGCAGTGTTGATTTGATTACAATGAAGATAAATGGTATTATGCACTCATTTGGTATCCTTTTCAAAAAGAGAAATAAGGTTTATTTGGTATGACTTGTCCTTAGCCACATCATTGCTTCCTTGTGAGGGCTGTTTGCTTCTTTTTGTAGATTTTTGCTAACTAGCTCTTATTAATAATATATTCTAAATTTTTGTTAGCAATTGAGGTCAAGGTCACTGGCCTACAATTTTCAAAGTCCATTCTTTTCCTCCCGCCCCCCCCCCATTCGGATATATCTCCTTTGCCATTCCTGTAACACCATTCTAGTTTTCTGTAATTTTTTAGAGATTGCTTGCAGAGATCAGTAACCCCATCCATCCACCCATTCTCTCAGTGTCCAAGGATATGGTGAATTTCAGTCAGGTGCCTTGAACTCAGGGGAATAACTGTTCTTTCTTATTAGGATCATGATTTAGAGCTGAAAAGGACCTTCAAAGTCATCTAAACTAGAGATTTTAGAAATGGAGGACTTGAGCAGCAGAGAGGCTAATGGGCTGCCCTTTCTATCTGTATCTCCAGCCCTCAGCCCAGTGCTTGGCACATGGTGAGTGTTTAATAAATGCGTTTCATTCATGTGTAACCACTCTGTAACTCTGTTTGGCCAGGCTGGCTATGCAGGTGAGGGAGGAGCCCTCACCTTTGTTTTCAAAGGCCTAAGGGACTGTCATGTAGAAGATGGACAATTCCTCTAGAAATATTTATACACGTACCTGCCTGTCTCCCCTGTTGCAATGCCAGCTCTTTGGGAGCAGGGATTGTTTGTTTCATTCTTTGTACTTGTAACTGTAGTGTTTAGCATAGGCCGGGGCACATGGCAGATGCTGAATACTGACTACACGGTTGGGCAGAACCAAGAGCAGTAGGGGAATGTTACTGTTTTAGGGTACAGAGGTAGGATTTTGAATCAGGCAACAAGCATTTATTAAGCACCTACTATATGCCAGGTACTGTGCATACAAATACAAGTTGAAGGACAGCCCTTACTTTCAAGAAGGCTCCAATCTAATGGGGGAAAGCAGAGTCCAGAGTGCACCATGGAAAAGGATGAAGAAGACAAGGCTGGCCTCTTTATTTTATTTATTTATTTTGGCTAGGCAATGGGGTTAAGTGACTTGCTCAGAGTCATACAGCTAGTAAATGTTATATGCCTGAGGTCAGATTTGAACTCAGGTTCTCCTGACTCCAGGGCTGATGCTGTATCCACTGTACCACCTAGCTGGCCCCAGGCTGGCTTCTTTAAATGGAGGTGCTGAGGGGAGCCCTCCAATCAGAGGTAGAGGCCACAGGGATAGCAGGGTACTTCCAGTGTATGAATTTCAGGGCTGGAGCAAGCTTTCAGGCGAGTGTTGGAAAAAGCCCAGTACATACCCTGGAGAGGTTTTGAGCTCAGCCCTTCAAATCTCTGAGCATTTATTAAGCCCCTACTATATGCCAAGCACTATTTGCTGTCTGGAGTAAAAAGCAGTCCCTGCAGTCTAATTTGGGAGACATGTAAACAACTATATACAAACAAGATAACAGACAAGAATAAATTGGAGAGAATCAACAGCATTGAGGGGGATGGGGAAAGGCTCCTTGTGGAAGGTATCACTTGAAGGAAGCCAGGGAAGCCAAGAAGGGAAGATGAAGGCAGAGAACTCTTGGGACATGGTGGATAGCCTGTGAAAATATACATTTAGGAGATAGAGGGTCATTTTCGAGGCCAGTGTCACTGGATTGAAGAGAATGAGGAAGGGAATGAGGTGTGTGTGTGTGTGTGTGTGTGTGTGTGTGTGTGTGTGTTGTCCTGGAGCTCCAAGGAGCCACTGGAGTTTTGAATAGCTCAGATCCAGTCAACTTTGCACTGAACCATGCAATCCAAAGACTGTTCTCTTTGGAACAGAAATCAGAGGAAAATAAAGATAAACTTTCTCTTTCTGGACAGTTGTCAACTCCCTATCTATCCTCAGCAGTGGGCCACGCTCTTCTTTGACCTCTTTTCCTCTATAACTGGGGGGAAACCAATCCCAAAATCTTTTGTTCTCTAGCCTGCCAAGGAGGGCGGGTACAGACCAGCAGGACACTGAATCTTAAGGGTAAAACTTGGAGATCTCAATGAGAGGTGGAACTGGGGACTCCGTAAGAGTCATGACTGGCGGCTCTTTATGGTGGTACAGTGGGTTAGAGCCCTGGAATTGGAGTCAGAGTCAGGAAGAGTTCAAATCCCACTTCAATCAATCAACAAGCATTGACTAAGCTCCTACTATGTGCCAGGCACTGTGCCAAGACAGTTTCTTACCCCTAAGGAGTTCACAGGCCAATGGGGAAGAAGAACAACATGCAAGATTTAGACTGGACACATTGGAGCGGATTGGGAGAGGGAAGGGGCTAGAATGAAGAAAGAGGAGGGGAGTATTCTTGAGGAAAGCAGGATTTTAGCTGAGACTTGAAGAGAGGGAATCCCCGGCATGGGTGACAGCCAGAGAATGCCTGGAGTCCAGAGACTGAGTGTCTTGCGCAAGGAATAATCAGGAGGATTGTGGTGTCTCCGGATCGCAGGGCTTGTGGGGCTGAGCATGATGTGAGAAGGCTGGGAAGGCAGGATGGGGCAGGTGCTGAAGGGCTTTAAATGCTATAAGATTTCACAGCTGATTCTGCAGCTTAATAGGACCCTATTGAGTAAAGGAGGGAGATGGTCAGACCTGGGCGCTGGGAAGGGCATTTTGACACCTGGGGGAAGACAGACAGACAGGCGACGCCAATAGTCCAGGTGATGACAGCCCTGCCCCAGGGGCCGAGGAGAGGAGGGGGCTTGCAGGAGGAGTCTTTGTTAGCCTCCGCCACCTCCAGCTGGGTGGGCAGTCACTGGGGCAAGTCACTCAATTGCCCTCACCTGGGAATCACCTGGGAAAGTGCTGTTAAGTACAGCTGTTTAAGCTTCTCCGCCCCCTTAGAAAGGGAGCATGGACTGGGACGACTGTTTTTGCATTTACGTGTCTATCCTCAGGCTTAACTCTCGGCCTCCCCCTAGGGAAGTGCTGGTAAACTGACCGTTGTCTATGAGGGGCGGGGCTTCTTCGTGAGCTCGGTCCCAGAGAAGAGGGGTTGAATGGGCTTTATCTGGGAGGGGAGGGACCTCGCAGGCTCTGCCTCTGGAAGGAGAAGCTTCCCGGGCTCAGCCTATGAGAAATGGGCTTTAGCGGCAGCCCGGGAGGGGCGGGGCTTCGTGGGCTCTGCCTCTAGAAGGAGGAGCTTCGCGAGCTCCGCCGGCCCTGAGGGGCGGGACTTCGCGAGCTCTGCCTATGAGGGCAGGGGCGGGCCCCTGCTCAGTGGGCCGAGCTACCCCGTGCGGCGCAGGCCTCAGTCTCCGCGGGCGGCCGCCCGGTCTCCACCTTTCCGGGCTGCCTGAGGAGAAGCGGCCGCCCCGCCTCCGGCCCCGCCCTGCCCCGCCCCTCGCCCCGCCCCGCCGGATTTCCTGTTTCCCCCTCAGCGGCTGCATTGGCAGCGGCGGCTGCGGTGGTGGCGGCTGTAAGTCCTGGAGGGGCTGCCCCGGCCTAGCACGCGCCCCGGTGGCACCCGCCTCGTCCGGACCCCGGCTCCGGCGCCTCCGGGAGGCCTCCCTGGCCCGGCCCCATGGTGCACTTCTTGCACCCGGGGCTGCGGCCCCGTACCATCGTCACCCCGAACGCCCTGGAGGACCCTCCGGGCTGCTGCGTGGTCCAGGTGGGGGAGCGGCCGCGGCGCCCCGGGGGAAGGGGGGTTGGGAGGGGCACCTGGGGGGACCCTCAGCTGGACCGAGCGGGGCGGGGAGCACCAAGAGAGGTGACGTTTGTACCGCGTTTAGCGCAGTGCCCGGCACGGAAGAGGCCCCTAATTAATGCTAACTCTAATTATTCTTGGGGCAGGTGGGGGGAGGGTGAAGGTGCGGCAGGTGAAGATGAGGGGGAGGGAGAGGCTGTTTGGGGAAACCCTGGTCAAAGTCGTTAGTAAGCGCCTGCTGTGTGTCCAGCGCTGTGCAAAGCCCCGGCCTCCAGGAGCGCCCAGTCTAACCGGGAGACCACGTCTACAGGGCAGTCGTAGCGGGGGGAGAAGCTGGACAGATGGAGAGATTGGTTTGGGGAGGGGCCAGATGGAAGAGCCTGGGTTTGTTTGTTTATTTATTTGTTTATTTATGCTGTAGAGTGACCCACGGGCTTGAAAACCCACATTTCCTTCCAAGCCCAGCATCACTCCCTACTGTAAGTTTTCAGTCTTGTCATCAGGACCCTCCACGTAGTCCTCAAGTTGGGGAAAACAAACTAACCAACTTGATAAAGTGTGATGATTTTTAAACTTACTTTTAGCCTCGAAGGAAAAGTAAAATCTTTTCAAACTTTCCCTAAAGATCTAGTTAAAAACAAAAAGACCTCCTGGTGATCCTTTCTCTCTAGGGGCTGAAAAGTCTAGCTGGTAGGATAAATCATGACAATGAGTGGTTTGGATGCTTTGAATGGTTAAGTGGGGCCATGCTTATGCAGAAAGGATAGAAAAAGTTTTAGTTTGGGTGATTGGGAAAAACTGATTGGGGAAGACTTCAAAGATGGTTTTCCCAAACAGTTTCACTGAAACTTGAATTTCTTTTCTCTGTGTTTTGTGCCACCTGATGGTGCCCCTGACAGTCATTCATTTTTGAGAGGAGCTGAGGGAGAAAGCTACATTAGAATTAGTTAGGAGCTCAGAAAGAAACTGTTCTTTGCCACCTTAGTGATGCAACACACTTCTGGTTCATAAAATGAAAGCCAAGACTTAAAAAACCCAGCCATTCTCAACATCAGGACAAATAGAACACAAATCTGCCTGCATCATTCATTAGGCCTGAAATTAGACAGGTGATCCTGTATGAATAGGTGTGGAAATGTCTTTCTAGGCTGAAGTGCTTCTTCCTCTTGCTCTTGGGGCAAAGGAGGTTAAAAAATAATTTTGCCTCCCTGACCCAAGTGAAGAATGCTGTAGCACCCTGCCCAGGAAGTCATTTGAATTGGAGCCTTTTTCTTGCAAAAATCTTAGCTGAGGCTTTATATCTTTGAGCTCCTGTATACATTTTAATACACTTGAGCAAACTTTAGGCATAGATTACTGTACACTGTGCTAGGAGATACAAAATTGAGATAAGCGTCTTAAGGTGTTGCTTACCTAGTGGAGTAATGAGACCTGCAGAAATAAATATAAATAAATAGAAATAGATATGAGTATAAGTGCCAGCAATGTATTGTGTGAAGCCTGAGGGTGTGGGAAGAGCCCTTTTTCCCTTTGGGCAAGATCTGAGAAGCTTTCTTTTCAGTGGCTTTGGGCAGCTGGGATGGCTGAGATATTAAAAAGCCAAGGTAGTTGATCCACCTTAGAAGAATAAGGGGACATTGTGTACCCCCATGAGGTGCCACTCTCCTTAAACAGGTGGGTGAAGAGGAGAGACTGGAGAAGACAAGAACTAGGATAGATGGAGAACCAGGAATGTGGTGTGTCTGAAACCACAAGATTAAATGATCCAGTGGGAAGGGAGGGTCAAATAGTGTTGAATTCTTCAGAGGTCAGGGTAATGGGGAAAAAAAAGTCATTGAATTTGATTATTTCTAATCACCAATTTGAGAGTAGCTTTTGTTTGTATCATTGCTTGGGTGTGTATATGTATGGGTGTGTGTGTACACTCCACTCCTCTGTTTACATGTTGTATCTCTAGTAGAATGGAAGCTCTTTTGAGGGCAGGACTGATTTTTGGCAGCAAGCCAGGTTTCTGTGGGTGTGGGGGAAATGGAGACATTGAGCAGTAAGTTTTTTTCAAGAAAGTTGTTTTATGAAGGAGAGAAAAAAGATGGAATGATGATAACTGGCCTAAAGATCAAAGGAAGTATTTATTTGTAGAATTATGGAGGTCTGAGCATTCTTGTAGATTGGAAGGAGCCATTGAGGAGAGGGAGGGCTAGCTTGAGCACACAGGATAGAATGTGGAAGTGGTCGTAATCATGGTGTTGGGGGTCATCTCTGATGAGCAAGCAAGAAGGAAGGGGCAAACAGAAGGGACTTTAGGTCATCTGCCATCGGACTATGGGGGGTTGAGAAAGAGAAGGAAAGGTTGAGTGCGGTTGATGGGAAATGACATAAAGAATCTAAGTTTAGACTAGAAGCAGAAATTTATAGATGAAATTGGCTAGCCATAATCTGGAGAATATCATATCTACCTGCATTACATTGATACTGACCTAGATTGTGTTGTAAGAAGAGGTAAATAAGAGATTCATTTCAGTTGTCATCATGTATGAAATTGCACGTGGTGTGTATGACCCACTTTTTGATTATGAAGTATTAGGTAAGTATGGATTGAATTCTTCTTTGCCCCATTACATTTAACTTGTATTATATTTATTTATATACATGCCATATCTTTAAGAATAAGCACAGTAGCCTGCACTTAGTAGGTACTTAATAAATGTTTAAGTTTGAATGTATTGAATTTCATTATCACAAATGTCAAAAATCATTTGTTTTAACTGACTGTGTTAATTTAATATTCAATAATTTTAGGTTTCTTTGTTTTAATAAAGTGTATTTGCTTGGGGTTTATTTGGTAGGAGGAAGCATCTCCCTACTCCTTGGTTGACATCTGCCTGATTGTCCTGGCTACTGACCTGGACAGGTTCTGTTCAGAAAGACCTGATGGAACCCTGCGCCTGCACGAGCTGGGAAGTTTCCCTCAGGAAGTAGCTGATCGACTGCTGCATATGATGACAATTCATGGTAATGCAGTTTATCTGGTATCTATCGGCAGTCGAAATGTTCCTGGTAAAGGTTTAGGATCCATAGCTTTGTTGCAAAAAATAATGACAAATTGGACATATCTTTGAAATATGCTTTGTGATGGCCCATGGAGAAATGAACTAGAAACTGAACAGAATCATAGAAATCCAAAACTGGGAGGGAACTTTAAAGGTCTTGTAGTACATAGTACCCTCTTAGTTTTCAGACCAGGAACTTGAGGTCCAGAAAGGGGAAGTAGTTTGTCCAGGGTTTGTCATGCAGATCTTTTGGGGCAGGGCAAGTCTCCTCTGTTTCTGAGCTTCAGTTTCCTCGTGTAAAATGAGGATAGAAATCTCTGCACAGCTGATCTCCCAGACCATCGTGAAAGTGAATTGGACAGCTCAATGTAAATTTGTGTAAACCTGAGGGGTAATAATTATTCTTCCTAGGCTCTCGAGTGTTTTCATTTCTGAGGCTGAGAAAACTTAAAGGTTTTTGCTTCTTTTGAAAAGCTTCTGAATTGCATTGGGGCAGTGGGGAGTCTGTCCAGTAAGCTCATAGACAAACATGATCATAGCTTTAGAGCTGGAAGAGATCTTGGTAGATGCCTTCTAGTCCCCTCCCCTACCCTCTTTTTTATAGATAAGGAAACCAAGTTCCAGGTCACTGCCGGCACTTCCCAAGGAGCTGGCAGAACTGCCCTTTGGCATTAGAATTTTAGAATTGACCCTTTATCACAAAACCTTGCAGCCACTGTCCATCAAGTGTTTAGTCTGAATTCTCCCCCCTTCCTTTTTATGCATTGTTTTTTTTTTTTTTCGGCTAGGCAATGGGGTTAAGTGACTTGCCCAGGGTCACATAGCTAGTAAGTGTTACGTGTCTGCAGCCACATCTGAACTCAGGTCCTCCTGACTTCAGGGCTGGTGCTCTATCCACTGTGCCACCTCGCTGCCCCAAGTTAATGTCCTTTTGAGGAGGCAGTCATTTTTCATTTTTGTCTTGGTATCCCCAGCACCTAGGTTAGTGCCTTGCGAATATTAATTGCTTAATTAATGTTGAATTAAATTGGGTTCAAGCTGAGAAGGGAAAGGCATAATTGAGGCATTTAGAGCTGGGAGGGACCTTAGAAAAAGGAGACAAAATTATTTATATCCTTGACCCCACAATCCCATTAGTGGGTTTCTAGTCCCAAGAAAAACCTATTTATGAAAAGTTTAGTGGAAGCACTTTGTCATAGCAAAAATTGCAGTTAAACTGTGCCCAGTGACTGGAAATTACAAATTCTGGTTTTATGAATATAGTGAAATATCACTGCACTGTTACAAAGTAGGTAGTTGATAGAGGACTGTGGCCATTGATCAGAAAGATTAGTGTACAAGTCCTGTCTCTAACCCATATTGTATAACTAGGGGTGCTCCTGGGCAACTTTCTGGGACCTAAATCAGTGGAGAGGGGTCTCCACACCAATGAAGCACAGGTCTGGACCCCAAAAGTACCCAATATATGGAATTTTGTTGCTGTTGAGACATAGAGTTCTCAACACTGATAAAATGCCAGTCTGAACCAAGGACAGATCTGGTATATCTAATATGTGCAAAGTACTGTGCTGGGTGTTTCTGGTTTTGGGGGGTTTTGTTTTGTTTTGTTTTGTTTTTACATTTCAGTCACTTTAGGCTATTGGGGGCTGGGGACAGCAATTCCACTTCACAAGTTTTTTATAGTGCTAAGCCTAACATTCACACAATATACACAAGTGAACAAACATGATTTTGTTTTAATTTTTCTTCAAAAGTTCAGTATTATAAAATAAATTTTTTGAAATACAAATATGGGACCTGGAAAAAATTGTAGATTCCAGAAATTTTTTCTGAATTGCTCATATCATTATGATTCCAGATCATCATGATAATAGCTGACATTTTTATGTCATTGAAGTTTGCAAAGCACTTTTTACTTGGCTATCTCATTGGATCCCCACAAGCTACTCTGGGAGATGGGGTTATTTTGCACCCACTGAGAGGCTAAGGGACTTGACCTTGGAGTCAGGATTCCAACTAGGGTCTTCCTGACTCCAACACTCTCCTCAGCAGCACCTGCACCAGTTTCACTTCAGGCAAATCAAAGTAGACAACACGTTAACAGCAAGAACTTGAAACTTTCATGCAAGAAGTATTTCTACTGCGTCTTTCCCCGTTACCTCACCCTTGTTCCTCATTAAACAAAAAACTTAAATCGTTAATTGCTGACTTATTAGATAATACATTTCATTTTAGAAGATAGATATTTTTGTCTAGCAGAAGAAACCAGAAATGACTTAAATACTTAAAAAACTGAGACATTTTTTCTGTTGTAGTACATGTTTCTTAAATAGTTATTGGCGGTCATCATTTACTTTAACAATTAAATAGAACTGAAGACCCATATTTTAGAATCAATAAGCATTAAGTGTGTACTGTGTGCCAGGCACTGTACTTGGAATATGAATACAAGCAGAAAGATAATCTCTGCCTTCAAGGAGCTTATACTCTAACACAGGAAGACAACATGTAAGAACAAGCTGTGAAAGGGAGAAGGGAGGAAGAGGAAAATATTAGAGAAAGTCCAGAGAGTTTAGAGTGGAGCATGAAGAGGACTAAGGACCTGGCTGGCTGGGGCAGTTTCCTTAAAATGGTGGATCTCAGAAACCTCCAGCGGGAGGAAGGGGCTGAAGGGGTGGCTTGTGAGAAGGCTTCTTCGGCCAGAGGCAAGAGTGGAGCCTTGAGAGAATATAAATAATGAGAAGGGGAAATCGGTTACAGCACAGGAACAAACCTAGGGCATCGTGAACTGCCACAAGTTTTTCTAGTGTTGTACATTAACATAGTTTGCTAAGCCGCTTTATCTAAAACAAAAACTAAGTCTACATGGCAGTGAAAAGCTGGTATGCTGAACCGTTTGTCACCTCCGGCGGCTTTGGCAAACACAGTCTTCCTCCAAAGCTCACTACATCATTTTGGAGGTAAAATTTCCATTTGTTTTTGCCTCAATGCATCTTGTCATGTTGACAGACTGTTACATTATCTTTGTCAAACATATCTGGATGCATCTTGCTTACCAACGTCACCCTCAGAATTGAAAGGGTTCTGTCTCCTGGCTGTTTGGGGTGCTCTGCATTATTACCGCTACTGGCAAATGAATTGTCACTTGACATGCAACTGTTGCCTGTCTTTTCAAGCACTTTCAGTTCTTCAGTATCAATAATATTGAGAAATTCTCATCCACATCTTTTATATTTCCTATTTCCTCATTTGCATCTTTTTGGATAATTTTCTTTAATGTCATTAATTGTTTGGGGGCTTGGATCCATTTGTGCATAGGTTGGGAGAGCCAATGTCCATGAGCCTCTGGGCCCTGCCCCAGCACTGGGGTTTCAAAAACAAAAAAAAACAAGAAAATCCCTTCTGTTCTGAGAGCTTATATTCTACTGGGAACATACAGCATACGCACAAATAAATTACTCAGTTCACCAAACATTTATTAATAGGCTTCTCTTCCCCAGACACGTGTATACAGTATTGTTGTTAGTCATTTTGCAGTTGGGTCTGATTCCGTGACCCCATTTAGGGTTTTGTTGGCAAAGATATTGGAGTGGTTTACCATTTCCTTCTCCAGCTCATTTTGCAGATGAGGAAACCGAGGCAAACAATGAAGTGACTTGCTCAGGGTCACACAGCTGGTAAGTGTCTGAGGCCCGAAGGAAGATGAATCTTCCCAACTATGAGCCCAGCTCTCTATCCACTGCCCTGCCTAGCTGCCCCATATACAAAGCATTTGTAACATAATTTCGAGAGGGAGGAAGATTAATAATTAACAGCAGAGATGAGAGGAAATCAGTGAGGGTCTCTAGTGGGAAGTGGTATCTGAGATTTGTTTTCTAGTAAGTGGAGGTGAGAGAGGGAGTGCAGCCCAGCCATGGCTGCCCACCTAGACTTTTCTCTTCTGAGTTGTAGCCTCGGGGAGGTGCCTAAGCGTGGTGGTTGTAGCTCCTTGTGGTAATGGCCTAGTAAAGAAATAGGGAACGTTGGGTATGAAATGATACATAATGGTCAAAGAACCACCAAAAGAATAGTGTAGATAATTACTGCAACTCTGTACAATTTTAAGTGGCAAAAGGACTTGGATTAGAAACATTGGATGCTCTTCCCCCTACCCTGCCCACATATTTCCTTTCTTCTAACAAACAGAAAACCCTGAAAATGTTAAGTTGCATGTAATAGAAGTCAGTTCTGTTTTGCTTGACCTTTTTCAGGGTTGGTCGGGGGGAAGGGGTCGATTGGCAGTGTGCTAGGGGTTCATATGTCAAAGCAACTTTTATTTTAAAAAATACATACAGTGAGTTCCCTGTGAGTTACAGGTGCCACACCAAAGGCTAGGTGACAGTTTGTCAGAGAATCCCATAAAAGAATTCCTGCTTTTATGTGAAATCTGGGCCAGAAAATGTACATTAAAATGCTAACATTTTATGCTTTTCTTTCTAAAATACCTATGAGGTCAATACCGATACTGGGTACGAATCCTGTACCTACATTAGCTTCATTTGCCACCCAGAAATAAATACTTAGAACTAAGATCAACACCAGCATTTTATGGTTTTCTTTTTTCTCCTCCTGCACTCCCTTCTCCAGTGTTATCGTTTGTGTTTGTGATTTCCCTCTCCTAAAAGTGGTAGATAGAGCATAATTGTTTTTATTATGAACTAGGAAAATCATCAAACAAGTATTACATATCTGAAGAAGTCCAGAAAAAAGAGTGTATATGAAACTGCTGTTTTATTACATTAGCTTGTTGTTGTTTTAATTTATGTTAAATTTAATCTGATACCAACATTGACCTGCTTATCACTTCCCTTCTGAACTTTCTCCTGTTCTCTTTTAAGACTTTTTTTGGGGGTAGAGGGGCAGTCGGGATTAGATGGCTTGCCCTGGGTCGCAGGGCAATGTGGCCGCATTTGCATTTGAACTGAGGTCCTCCTGACTCCAGGGCCAGTGCTCTCTGTCCTGGGCCACCTAGCTGCCCCTCTTTTGTGTGTTTTTAAAATGTTTCATTGCATTCTTTTTGCAGCACTTACTACTTCTCCCTCCACCTGCCCATAAAATCCCTTCCTTGTAACAAATACATATTATGAATCACAGCAGATTTGTATTGTATAGGTTCTGTCTGGAAATTTGTCTTCAACTTTCCCCAAGGAGGTAGAAAAGCTTCTTTAATGGCACTGTCCTTGCTTGTTACATTGTGTGTAGTTCATCACACAGGGAGTTTCATAGTTCTGCTCACTTTACTCAGCATCAATCCATTACAAGTCTTGGTAGGGTTCTCTGAATCTGTCCTTTCTATCTTTCTGGTAATATTCTGTTACAGTCACATACTGTTAACTAGTTCAGCCTTTCTCCAGTAGATGGGTACCCACTTTGTATCCAGTTCTCTGCTACAATGTGGGTCCTTCCCCTCTGTCTTTGATCTCTTTGGGATATAGATCTAGTAGCGGTCTTGCTTTTGCGTGTTCCAAATTGCTTTTCTGAGTTGTTGGACTAGTTCATCACTCCATCATGTTATCATGTATGTTAGCATGCCTGTCATCTAGCATAATTGTTATTAATGTTAAAGTTAAAATAATTCAAATTAATTTTACTGAGTGGGGTTTTGGGGTAGTTTTAAAAGACATTTGTGATACCTAGTGATTAGTTGGGAGGCACCCTTAGGTTTCATGAAACTAGAGCCTCCATATGGACACATGTATGTGTGTATGTACATATGTATGAGTGTGTAATAGCTATCTTAGCCTCATGCCATATTCCTAAATAATTTTCTCTACTAAAAGTGCCAAAGGCATTGTATAGAAATGGGAAGAATAGTGAAGAGAAATTGGAGCCCCAAATCCTGGGTTAGAATCCTAGTTCTGACACTTAGTCACTGTCATGTGACCATGAGCAAATCACTTTTCCTTTCTGGGCTGGACCTTTCTTTCCTCCTCAGAGAAATGTGGAGAATCTGGGCTCTGAGGCTTAAAAGGACTCTAACCAGGAGCACGCACACTGATTACGGAGTTACAATGTTTTGTTTCCCAGAAACCTGTAGTGGGTCATGTGCTTTATAATTGTCATCTGATTTGAACCCAGGTATTCTGACTCTCAATCCAGTGTTCCTTCCATTAGACTGACCATGTTGCTTCCCCTAAAAGAACTTTAGTATATGATTGACCTTTATATTCATTTTAAAAAAATCATTTTATCTTATTTTTATTGGATGAAAGAAATAAAAAACAAAGTACTTGTTATATGCAAAGCCCTTTGGTAAGTGCTGGGAGGACAGGTACAAAGGGGCCCCATAGGGCCTTCTTATGAAGTGCACAACGCATCCAGGGGAGATGGAGGGTTGGTCTGAGCAGGGCCGTGGCCTTGGCAAGAGTATAAAAGAGGGAGAAACCCAGTTTATCAGTTTAACACATCTGATGTATCTGATCAGATGGGCTTTATCTCCTACTTCAATGAAAGGGAGGGGGCCTTTCAGTGACATAAAGTACTTTAGTCATTATTACTGATAAATGATTAATCTGGCCTAGAAGTAGTTGCTATTTAATGTAACCAGCTTGGATTATGATTCCTTTGCAGGCAAGCTGAATGATCGAACTGTGGGCATTTTTCAAGGCAACCAAATGCAGCTGAAGCAAGTGTATATCCGGAAAGCCGAGATTTCTGCTGCTGCTTTCCACAAAGCCTTCTGCCATCACAGAATTATTGAACTGGATGCTGCTGGTGTGGGTGCAGACCTCTCCATCCCAGATATCCTGAATGGCCTTGGCAGCAGTTCATGGGCCCGGCAACACCTTCAGTGCCTCGTGTTGAACTCGGGAACTCTGCCCACTGTGGAGGCCACAGTGCCACGCTTTAGCCAGCTGGCCGGGCTTCGGGTTTTAAGTGTTTCCAACATCCCTTTTCAGAACAGGCACCTGGCAGATGTCGCTTTGCTGCCCAGATTAGAGAGTCTGGACATTTCTAACACCTCAGTCTCTGACCTCTCTGGACTCCTTGCCTGTAAAAATCGGCTCAAATCACTCACCATGCACTATCTGAAGTGCCTGACGATGACCACGCCCCAGATCCTGGACGTCATCAGAGAACTGCGGGGCCTGGTTCACCTTGATATTTCCGACGATCAGCAGTTCACCTCAGACCTGGCCTTTCATTTGCTGCAGCAGAAAGACATACTGCCGAACATCTTGTCGCTAGATATCTCTGGGGGTAAACACATCACCGATGAAGCTGTCGAAACTTTCGTCCGGCAGCGGCCAGCAATGCAGTTTGTGGGACTGTTGGCTACAGACGCTGGCTACTCCGACTTCTTTACCTCAGACCCCGGTTTCATGGTGTGTTCTAGTCTGACATGCATAGGTGACTAGGGAAGGTAGAAATGCAGACTTAATACCCTTTGTCAGCGCCAGACCTGGCCACCCTGCCCTTGCTGAGGAAGGCCAAGAGTGATTAGATGTGGAAGTTGGATCCCGCTTGGTACCGTGGTACAGTGGAAAGAGCTGGGTTCAAATCCTGCCTCTGTCGTTTACTGCCTTTCTGGGACTCAGTGTATTCATCTGTAAAATGGGGGGATTGAATCAGCTGGCCTCCTAGAGCTAGGATCCCATGAAGTAATCTCTGCCTTCAAAGAGCTTCCCTTTGGAAGTCCAGTGTGAGGACATGCTTTTCTGAGGCCTGTGAAGGTGGACGGCTCTGTAGGCTGTTCAGAAAAAGGAGCACCGAGACTGCTAGGTGCCATTGTTAGGAAAGAAGGGAGTGTGGGTTAATCAGCTGCTTTGTGGCCACACATTTCCTGTTGTTTACTCTCCCTCCCAATCCAGTCAGTCAGCAAGCCTTTATGGAGTACCCCCTGTGTGCCAGGCCCTGTGCTCAGTTCTAGAGATACAAAGAAAGGCAAAAACCCATCCTTGCTCTGGGAGCTCACAGTCTTGTGATAGTAATTGCCGGAATTTACCTAATGCTTTAAGGTTTGCAAAGCACTTACTAAATCAAATATTATCTCATTTGGTCCTCCCAACTACCCTGAGAAAAGGTAGATTGCTATTATCCCCAATTTATGGATGAGGATACTGAGGCAGACTGGGAAGTGACTTGCTCAAGGTCACACAGCAAATAATTATCTGAGATTGGATTTGAATTCAGTTCTTCCTGGCTCTAGGTCCAGCACTCGATCCACTGTGCCACCTCATTGCCAATTAAGTTTATGGACTACCTATTGAATGACATTTTCACCATTTTATGAGTTACTTTCCATTAAACATCCTTGGATGATTCATTGTAGCTTGGAGGTGATTGGGTTCTTCACAGTTATGTCTGCTGAGCCGAAGGCCTACCAAGCCATGGGCTGTGCATCTGTTTTACCAGAACCAGCCTTTATGACTCATGTCCTCATGTGATAAATTATCTTGGCCCTGACAACTAGTGAAGAAACTATGAATCTTTACTGGTGGAGAAAATACCAACACTGATGAAATCACAGAGCTTTTCAAAATTATCCATTGGAATAGATTGTTCCTATTGTGGACTGGAGGGATATCCAATGAGAGAGCAAAAAGTTAATGTCTTGTTTTTTGTTTTTGTTTTTTTTAGCCTTGTCTATTCTATAATGCCCTTTTGGTAGCAGATTTCTTTTCTTTCTCCCTTATCTGTCCTTGTATCATTCTTTCATATTTGCCGTTTTTTAAAAACTTACAATTATAGCTATTGAATAGCATTCAGTTGAAATGTTTTCTAAAGTTTTTGTTTTCCTTACCTTTAAAATAAGAAGGTTGAATGAAAATGTTAATGTATCACTACCTCTAAGTAGTTTTATTCTCATATTTTTAGGTACTCTTTGATTACTTTCTGTGAGTCCAGGAGTCATCTCTAAAGTAACTTCATAGTTAAATTTGAAATTTTTAAAGTCTGCTTTGGAAAGCTGAGAGAGAAGAAAAACTCACGTCTTCTGGCCCTTTTGTTTTTAAGGTTGCAGGAGGGGCAAATGTCAGTCAGATTTCCGAAGCTCTGAGGAGATACAGTGAGAGAGTGTGCTTTATGAAGGAAGCCCTCATTCGCCTCTTCACCCAGACATTTTATATGCAAATAACCAAGCCAGCTGTTTTAAAGGTAACGCTGCACCTGATCTGAAAAGAGTAATTCTTAGACTTAACTGACGTCTGACATGGATTAGAAACCAGGAATCAGTGGGGGTTTGGTTCACTGGGGGCACTTAAATACTCCTTAGATGGAGAAAAACAGCCTGCTTCTATCCAGGCTTCATTTTCCTAGTGATCATCATCATAGGACACACCCATTATGTGTGTATGGTGTAGGGGGGGTAAAATGGTAAAGCCTGATAACAAGATGCCTTTGGGGTTTTAAGGAGCTGTCACTCCCTGGTGCATAGCATCAGCCTGCAGAGAAGGGGAGGTGAGAGACATAGGAAGGGAGGAAGAGCAGGCGGGCCATTGTGGCTGCTGACCGTGGCTCATTGGTCTCAAATAGCTTATACTCTTGAGGCATCTGGGGTCTAGGGAGGACTGCCCTGTGTGGGCCTTCAGAAACCCTGGGCTCAGTAGGACTTTGCCTAAGTTACTTCATTTCCCCAGCTCTCAGTTTCTGTAAAACGTGGAGATCTGTGAAGGGCAATTGCACAACCTGCTTGATGTTGTTTCTGGGACAGTCCTGGGAGACAGAGCACTTTGTTAACTGGAAAACACTCTCTGAATGGGAGCTGGTGGTTCTGAACTTTTGGCCTCAGACGTTTGGGTAACCTTGGTGCACAAGCAGTTCTTCAGTCAAGCAGGATATGGTTCTTAACTTATATCCAATTTTCCATCAGCAGTCTTTGTGTATGTTGTTAAGAGAAAATCTCTGCTTAGTTGGTAAAGAATTATAGTATGTTTGAGACCAGAATGGAGGAACACAAGCTTAGCAGTAGGGAAAAGTGAAAGGGAAGAAGAATGGGTATGTGGTCCTGTAAATGGTTATGTTGGATGATGTGGGAGATAAAATGAAAATATTTAATATGAAAATATAAAAACTAAGCTGGGTTTGACTGTTACCTGAGGTCCTTCTTCAGGCCGAGGAGTGTCCTAAACCACTTTGCGTTCTCATTGCCTTAGTACTGTAGGGGCTCCCTAAATTGTTGGCAATGATGACGTCAGGATGGTTGATATATTTTCCATAAATCATGTCCTTCATTTTTATTCAAATACTTCATTTCATTGGGGATTCATTATGTAAGACCCTATAGTAGGGTTTTCCAGGCTACAGAGGTGAGTAAGGCATGATTCTTGACTTCAAGGAGCTACAACCTAGTTACTTTTAAATTGAACAATAAAATATTGAAAGCGAGGAGGGGTGTAACTCTTGGCCATAATATCCTCTTTGTTAAAAAGAGAAAGTGGGATTGGATGAAATCGGTGACCTATCCCTCTCACCTCGTCTCAGTTCAGCTGGTAGTGAGAGCCTACTCTGATGCATTCCCTGATGGCATGGAGGTGAAAGTGAAAGCTAACAGCTTTATTATGGATCTCTAAAACTCCAGAATGCAAATTAGGTACCTAAGCTTCATATATAATGTGAAAAGTTGAAGCAACCTTTCTAGATATTGTTATCACCAAAGAAGTTTGTAAAAACAAAAACAAAAAAAGTTTGTCTTATTCTGAATTTAACACCAAATAAAATGAGCATTTCCATATATAAAATATAATAGCAAAAGAGGACTGTGCATAGAACTGTGAATCTCTCAGGACTCTGATATCCAGGCTCCATAGCACACATAAACGATTTTTCTCAAGGATCCCTGGTTATTTATATGGAAAGATCATGAAAAATGCCTATATTAATAGGAGAGAAAGGGAGAAAAGAAATGAATTGAGATCACAACCCAAATAAGGCATTAGAATAAGAAAAAAGGAAGAAATTCTTAAAAAGATAATAAAGTTGAAAAGTAGAAAATAAAAGAATAATTGAATTGATAAAACTAGTTTGTTTTCTTTTTTAAAAAAAGTTAACCTCTTAGCAAAAAAAAAAAAAAAAGGTCACTTGACCTGGACTATCTAAAGAGCTACATTTGGTCAAGCCTCCCAAAAATGAAGAATCAATTTATCAAGACTATTTACAGATAGAAGAGTAGATCCCAACCCATTGTCTTGGAGGTGGCCCAGTGGAGAGAGCCTGGGTCATGGGCTGGCTCAGTCACAATTCTGGCCAGAAGTGCTATAGGAAATCTCTTAATCTCTTGGTCTCACAGGGTTTGTAAATTGTCAGTGAGTTTACAGCAGGTGTGGAAAGCTGCTTCAGTATAAGAAACTCTTTATGAGTATATGACCATATTAATGTGAGTCCTCCCCCAAATGATGTAGATTTCAGTCCGTTTGTGTCCTTCCATAAATGATCCCTAATGGGTCTACCTTCCACCCAAAGTGCTGGAGGCCTTCCCCTAGCTCTGGTTGTTGCATAGATGGCCCTCCTCTCCATCACTGGTTCTGTGGGACTGCTCACTCATCTTTCTGATGATATCCTCTTTCCACTTCTGGACTGTCCCCGCTGTGCTCCTCATTGTTGTCTTTGGAGTAATTCTTAACTTTAATTCTTCAGATGATGCCAGGTGTGTGTGGACCCTGCCTGTGGTCCCTGCAACCAGGGAGGGTGAGGCTGATGCATCTCATGAGACCCAGCAGTGTGCTAAGCTGATTGAGTGTCTACTCTGTCTGGCACTGATAGGGTGAGCCCCTAGGAACAGGGGGCCACCAGGCCTCCTAAAGGAGGGGCAGATGGGCCCAAGGGCAGAAGAAAGAGCAGGCCAGAACTCTCATGATGCTCAGCAGGGACATCAGACCTCTTAGCAGCTACTGCACGTCCAGAAAGAAAAAGAAAATTCTTAAGAGATTGAGGTGTTTCTGTGGATTTGCTGCAACTATACTGGACCACAGGAAGAACCTTGTTAAATAAATGGGTCTTTATTTCCATTTTAACGTCGTTAAGATCGTAATGAGATATGTAAGCCAGAAATTCTGCATCATTATATAAATACTAGCGAAGAAAACTCTTTAATAAAATATTTATTAGGAAAACAAAAAAAAGTAAAAAGACAAAGATTCCCTCACAATAAAAAATAACCAGCTTATGCCAAGAACCAACATAATATGCAAGGGAGAAACATTAGAAATTTTAAAAATTAAATCTGGGCAGTCTTTTTTCCTTGTAAGGAGCTTCCTTTGAGCAGATCCCTCCACCAGTGCAGCCCAGTATCACGGTGGGTCACATGACCTGTGCCCAGGGTTTCACAGCTGCTGACGTGTACCAGGGGCAAGACTTGAAGCCAATGCCTTTGAGGCCACCCTCTGTCCACTACATCTTGTTGTCACTCTTTACATCCAAAACATTCCACTAAAAGTAGGTTTGAAACGAGGGTGCCCACTTTCCCAACTTATATTTGACATTATATTTGAAATTCTTTCCGTGGAAATAAGGTGTTTGAGGAATTAGCTTTAGAAATGGAGAGGTCAAAACATTCAGATAACAGGATATAACAAAACCCAACTCCTTCAGCCCTCAAGGAAGAATAGAGACAGTGAGTTCAGTCCAATCAAAGATGCAAGCTTAACCCAGCAAGTCGTTTTACATTTTATCCTAGCAATAAAGAAAACAAACAAACAAACGAAAAAACCGCTTCATTTAAAATAATGATCAACTGTTTGAGACTTAACACATACTCAAGACCAGCATAAAAGACAGTTATCAAACTGCCAGGACTGAAGGAAATAATCCTAATTGCCTCCGTTTATTATAGCGTTTTAAGCTTTACAAACAATTTTGTCTACATTCTCACTTGATCCCCTAAGCCAGAGGTGTCAGACACTGCCCACAGTGCTTTAAAATTTAATTGGGGGTGGGGGGACAGTTACATGGCACAGTAGACAGAGCACCAGCCCTAGAGTCAGGAGGACCTGAGTTCAAATCCGGCCTCAGACGCTTACTAGCTGTGTGACCCTGGACAGATCACTTAACCCCTTTTGTTTTCCCCTCAAAAATACATGGTTTTCTGAATCAATATACAACCACATGTATTGTTCAGTGGTTTAGTGGCCCTGTTTCTATTTTGAATTTGACACCACTGCCCTAAATAATCCTATGCAGTACGTGTATTCTCCCTTGTTTGTTCAGATGAGGAGGTTGTGATGTATCCAAAGTTATACAGCTAGTTAGTGGATGTTGGGGGCAGGGATGAGGACAGGGGTGAGACTTATCTGAAATAGAGGAGTAACTAGCAAGTGGCAGGAATATCCACTGTTCAGAGATAGAACCATGGAAATAATAATGAAATTTTTTTTTTAAATGAGCAAGAATAACAAGAGGTATGGGGGGGAGAGGTGCGTGCAGAAACGTGGTCTTGCAGTCCCAGGCTTTAAATCATTACCAGGTGGTTACCATTAATGTTAGCTGGTGCCAGGGAAAAAACAGAAACAGATCCATGCAATTGAGGAGAGACTTAACTCTAAAAAAGTATGCTTGTTAAGCTGATAGGAAACAGAAATTGGGGAAAGGATTCATTGCATTAAAAATGTGTCTAGGAAAATGGGTCAGCAGTTTAGGCCCATATCTTATGCCAGATACCTCAGTGAATTGCAGTGGGATGGTAGCATTAGACATTTTTTTAAAAAAAATTTATGTTAGGGGCAGCTAGGTGGTGCAGTGGATAGAGCACTGGCCCTGGATTCAGGAGGATCTGAGTTCAAATCTGGCCTCAAACACCTAACACTTACTAACTGTGTGACCCTGGGCAAGTCACTTAACCCTATTGCCTAGCCAAAAGAAAAAAAATCTATTTTAAAAATATGGAAGAAAATGTGATAATATATGAAGGTAACAGGACTTTTTCCTCTTAAATAGAAAAGGGGTATGAATAGATGTGATTGATTTCATTAATGTACAGTAAAAATAATGAAAAGATAAATAATAGATTGGGAAAAGTAAGAAAGATCAAAGCATCCATGAAGAAGTGTTAGACATTTATAAAGGTAACTGCCACTTCACATGAATGGTCAAAGGCTGTGACTAGATCATTTTCAAGAGAGACACCCATTTGATAATCACTTGAAAACATTTTATTCACCTAATAATTAACAGAATGAAAATGAAAATAACCCTGAGGTACTAGCTCAAACTGGCAAAAATAATTAAGGAAACTCAATTCTTCAAGAGTTGTGAAGAAACAGGTACATTCATTGATTGACGGTAGAGTTGTAGACTAGTAGAGTCCTTTTGGATCAGAGCCAGAACAGCGGATCTAGACTTTGGCCATGTGGCAGTGACTCATATGTGCACAGGCCTTTAGAATTGGCACAGCTCCTTCAAATTCATGTCTCATTTGATCCTTACAGAAACCTTACAAGGTCAATATTATGGTTGATAGTCCTCCCTTTTTACAGATAAGGGAACCGAAGCTCAGTGATTAAGTGACTTGCTCGTGGTCACACAGCTGGACATGACAGAGGCAGCATTTGGTCTTCAGTGAGTCTGCCTCCCAAGAGAATGGAAAGAACGGGTGGAGACGTGGAATAACTGGCCAGGGCTGCTCTTCTATGTCTCGAAGGCCATTTGTGCAAGGGCTGATAGCTATGAAATGACTGGGAGGTGATATTGATGATGTTTTTTCTTGTGTTTATGATAATTTTTCAAATATAGATGAGAAACAGCGTAAGTGAGCTGGGTCATGGTCTCTACACACACCTGAAGATCACATGATCAGCTTTAAGCCACCTGGGATCTAGACAGTTGTCACTTTCTACCATATTTGAATCAGAGAAGCATAAAAGATGAGCACTAGAGGGGAGGGACCTTAGAATTCACCGGTCGGAGCCCCCTCATTTTACAGAGGAAGGAACTAGGGCTTAGAAACGTCCTGACTCTGAGTGCTGAGTTCTTCCTATTACCCACCCTGGTTCTCCTGATGTAGAACATTGGCACTGGAAGAGACCTTCAAACACAGAATGTCAGAGCCAGGAAGCACCTTCACGATCATCGCAGGCAACCATTTACCTGCCAGAGAGGAAACTGAAGACCAGAGAAGGGGGTGGCTTGCCTGCCAGTCCCACTAACTTAGCAGTGGAGCCAGGATACAAAGCCAGGTTTTCATATTCCTGGTCCAGGGTACTTTTCTGGCATACTATACAATCTCTTTAAAGTGCTTTCACAAAACAAGAAAACTCCTAAATAGTGTTCAGTTGTTTTTCAGTTGTGTCTGACTCTTTGTGACCCTATTTGGGGTTTTCTTGTCAGATACTGGAGTGGTTTGCCATTTCCTTCTTCAGCTCATTATACAGATGAGGAAACTGAGGCAAACAGGGTGAAGTGACTTACCCAGGGTCACCCAGCTAGGAAGTGTCTGAGGCCAGATTTGAACTCAGGAAGATGAGACTGACTCTAAGCCCTGCATTCTATCCACTGCAGCAGGCACCTTGCTGCCCGAAATACTTTGTATTTAAATAGCCTTTCTGTTTGACATCAGGGTAGAAAAAGGGAACGTTGGTTTTAACAATCATCTTGTACTAACTTTTCTTTTTTTCCTTCTTCTTTAGCTTGTGGCTGTAGGAATGAGGAATCACCCCCTGGACTTGCCTGTACAGTTCACAGCCAGCGCATGCACCCTCAATTTAACCCGGCAGGGTCTGGCCATGGGTATGCCTGTTCGCTTGTTGTCAGAGGTCATCCATTTACTTCTCAAGGCCCTGAAAAACTTCCCTAATAACCAGCAGGTAATTTAAACGATAAATATTTGGGCATATGTGGAACCTTCCTTTATGTCACTGACCTCCCACAGGGTAGATGCCTGGCCTTGGCGTGAGCGCTGTTGTTACTCGTTTGCATAATTCATGGATTTCCAGGATGGCAGAACCAGCTCTGTTCCAGTGTCCAGCAGGTGGATTGAATTGAATGTTTGACCTTACTCTAGAAGGAACAGTGGCAGGAACCGTTAACTTCTCTGGCAAGTTCCATGTTCTGCTTTGTTGATTGACCGAGGGAAACCTTGTTGTCAATTAACAAAGAACATCTGTTGGAGTGGTGCCTGATGTTCTTCCCAGACCTTGGTGACAAAACAGACTCCACTGAGGTGCAGAAAGACAGACTGGTTCATGGGTATTTGCGCCCTGCACGTTCAGATGCCTCTTCCTTCTGTTGCCCTTCTCGCCCTCTGAGGCCAGTCAGCTTTCCCTCTACCTGTCTGAATACTTCCCAGACCTCGAGGCCCAGTTTACATTTCGTTCTGTTTGAAGCCTTCCCTGACCACCTCTCATCCTCCTCTGGTCTCTCATAGCACTTCCTTTGCCCTTTATTTCACACTTAGATGCATTCTTTATGTTAATGTTGATGCATATATGCCTCATCTCCCCAGTTACGTTCTGAGCTCCTTAAGGGCTGGGACCAGGCCTTCAGTTTTCTGTCCCATCACAGTGCTGGGTAGCTCAGTATCCTACAGAAAATAGGTTCTCAGTATGAAATGCATTGTTACTGGTACAGAGGAACAATACCCCGCCTTGCCAGGACCGGAGCATTCTTAATTCCTTAATTGGACTCAGTCATGTGCATAGCTTATTTCTGTTACATAGAAAGGTAGGTATATGAGAGGGAGAGAGAAGGGTGTAGCCATCAGTGGCAGCATTTTTATGTGTAAAACTGCCCTGGGTTAGTCCAGAGTCCAACCCTTTCGACTTCTTTGGTTATCAGCGTAACAATCTTGGGCAGTTGAATAAATCATCAGAACCGTGTGTAAGATAATGGTGAGAGTGGGGCCACTGGCTGCAGTGCCATCTCCAAAGACTGATTGGTCTGGGACCCCCACAGAGGGATTTAGTTACTGAAGTCCCCAGAGGCCTTGCCCATCATAGACCTCACGTGTCATGATGCTTATAGTTGAGGAACAGAACTGGAGTTGAATGATTAAAACTTTATATAATCTGAAATGACTTCTCTGTCTAAAGTTACTTTTCTTGATTCCTAAAAAGCTACAGAAGAATTGTCTTCTCTCCTTGACCAATGCCAGAATTCTTCAGGATGTCCCATTTAACAGGCAAGTGTCAAGTTCAGTAAGCCTGTTGGGGGTACTTGGCAATCTCACTGATTTCTGGGGGTTAAGTTGTTCATTTTCTTCTGAGGTGCGCATGCACACGTGCGCGTGTGTGTGAATTTTCTTTGTTCTCACTAGAAGTCTTCATTCCAGCCAGAAGGTGCTATCCCAATCCCATGGTTTGATGATTAGTCTAAAGGAAATTTTTTTTTTAAAGGCAATTGGGGTTAAGTGACTTGCCCAGGGTCACACAGCTAGTAAGTGTCAAGTGTTTGGTCTGAGGCCGGATTTGAACTCAGGCCCTCCTGACTTCTGGGCCGGTGCTCTAGCCACTGCACCACCTAGCTGTCCCTAAAAGAATTATTTTTAATGTTTACTGAAAAGAAAAGAAAAAAAAACACCAAAAACTACCAGACCTTAAAAGACTATTTTCTCCTTGAGCCTTAATGCCACTCTTGTTTTCAGAGCTAGGGCTTGGGGTTTGGGGATTTGTTTCTGATTGTGAGTAGTAATCATGTCTGTTCCCCCCTCTCCCCTTCCCCAACAATGTGAATGTGACTTAGGGAATTAGAAAAATCAGAAGTTATTTTTTCAGGTTTGATGCTGCCAAGTTTGTTATGAAATGGCTCTGTAAGCACGAAAACCCAAATATGCAGACAATGGCAGTGAGCGTCATCTCCATTCTGGCCCTTCAGGTAGGAGATTATGCCTAACTGGGCCAGGTTTCTATCTCTCCCAAATTTTGATGGAATGCAGATAATCACGTCTCCCTTCTGTGCTTACAGCTCTCTCCTGAACAGACAGCTCAGCTGAAGGCAGAACTTTTCATTGTTGTCAGGGTGAGTTGACACCTTCCTTACTTGTTTTGAGTTTTCCTTGCACCATATACATGACCATTTATGGGTTATAAGGTTTGCTGTGGTAAGCTCACTTATCTGAAGAATTAGGCTGCTAACTTTGCATTTATTTTGTGACCAAATAATGGTGAGTACCAGCCTCCACTGCTGACTTTTCTCCAGTGCCTCAACATAGCAGACACGACCCTAGGTCTCACCATCTTTGCCAAGACAAGAATTTGGGAGGTTCTGAGGACAAGGCTGGCTAACACCAGGCAGCCTCTCCATTAGGGGAAGGACTGGCAGGCGTGGAGTATGTTTGGTCATACTGACCTCTTCAGCTCTGGACGGATTGTAAGCTGCATCCATACTGATACCACAGATCTCCTTGCAGCTTTGAAGGAAGACACTGTGTCTTCTTTGTAGGAACCCTTAGCCGTCGTCCATAGTAGGCACTCAGTCAGGATTTATTGATCAGTTTGATTGATTAATCATCAGTTTAATGATTGATCAAAGTCTGTGTTGGCCTCCTGATCCAGCTTCACTCTCGAAATCAAAAGGACAATAAGCTGGTACTAATGACATTAATACATAATTGAAGCTTAGAATACAAATGGGCAACTTCAGAAATATCTGAGGATGAGAAGTCTTAAGATGAGTTGATTTGTTAAAAGGCTTAGAATTTCTGTCTGGAGTATCCTGAATTACTGAGCTTCTGTGAGATCTCATTCTCTTTCCTTCTCTGAAGTAACCCCAAATCATTGAGGCCTTGATTAGATATTGTCATATTCCTTGTTTCTTATATAAATCTGATTTTCTCAAGTGGAGATCCCTAAAAGACTGGATTAGGCCGGTGTATATGTGATCTTTTCTGACCCAGAGTATTGTGATAGAACTTGGTATATAAAAACAATGATGGGTATCTTCTCATTAGTAGATAAAATAGTAAGTTTATCTCTACACTTCATCAGACTGAATCGATAACTAACACAGCTTCAAGTAAGATCTGAAGTTGGCATTAATGGCTTCCAGAAAGTGTCTAACTAATGAAATATTTGATAGACTTCTGTTAAGACAGGGAGCAAGTGATGTCTCTGAAGTCAGGTTTTGTGACAATTTGAGTTGTCAAAACATAAGATTCTTCCTTTTGCTTTTTTAGGAACTCTTAGCAATAGTGAAACAGAAAACCTCAGAGAATTTAGAAGATATTACCCTCACGTTTACCCTCAGAGCACTATGGAACCTCACAGATGAGTCCCCAGCCACCTGCAAGCACTTTGTTGAGAACCATGGGTTGGCCATCTTTGTACAAGTCTTGGAGGTACCAGATAGGGTGGGCTTTACTTGGAGTTCCAGTCTTCTTGATGACATTATTGACCTCAACGTATTTCTTTTGACAGACTTTCCCGTCAGAATCAACGATACAAACCAGAGTTCTTGGCCTTTTGGTAAGATACGTATTAATTCGATGGAGTGAATTATGGCAACTTCTTCCAATTAACGTGAATCACATTTGAGAAATCTTTCATTAAAATTATTAAACCAAAATGTGAGAAACCTATATCTAGGGGAAAACGCTCTATGTGTGTATTGACTGAAGGTCCCAGTGGTGATCCTTCTTGGCTGAGTGACCCTGGGCAAGCCCCTCAGCTTTGTTGAGCCTCAGTCTCCTCTACAAGATGGAAATCATTCTATTTGCCTGACGTGCCTCAGAGCCCAGGGGAGTTGTGTGGAAAGAGGGGCTATGAAAAGGACACTTTAGGAGACTCAGTTAAAACCTGAAGTTAGGTTAATAACTCTCAGCATCTTTCCCCACCAAGGGCACAGTTTTTAGAACAATATGGCTACCTAATTTCCTACATATATCTTATATCCTCCACTGAAACCTTCTTCTGAAACTTGACTATAGTGTGGAGGTGACCTCCAAGGTTCTCCAAGGCTATGCCGGTGGAACACAGCCTCTGACTGTTCCTGCCAAAGCGGTAAGGCCTTGTGTGTAGAATCTGCTTATTAGTGCCCAAGAAGAGAATGAGCCAAATCCCATGAGAGCAGATGAGGGATGGGAGCAGGAATTGAGGAAGATTTGATGGCAAAAAGAGCAGTTGAGTTGGGCCTTGTTAAGTCACGCTTAAGGTTTCAGCGGTTTCATCTAGGTGGCAACAGGAAGGGACAGCATTTCATGGGGAGGAAAATTGTGAGGGAGGCCTCAGGAAAATGCAGCATCTATGCAGGTGATAGCAAGAAGAGCACCTGAGATAAAGGAGTATGGAGGCTGCCAAGTGGTCAGGAGTTGGAGGGCATCTCGGGGATGCCCTTGGATAGGATCCTGTCCTTACCCTGGCGGTGCTGCTGCCAGCTGGCATCGTGGAGAACTCTCTCCTACCTCTCTGGATACTTGGGATTTTTGTTGGGGTTTTTTTGTAGATTCTTCCCATTTCCCCAAGGTCCAAGTTGGGTCTAATGGATAGAGCTGGCCTTGGTGGCCAACTTGGTTTTCCCTTGGCTGAAGTCCAAAGAGACATTTTAGGTTTGATATAAGGAGAAACTCCCCAACAATTAGAATTGTCTAGAGTAGAGTGAGCTCCCTCAGGAGGCTGTGGGATCATTGATTTGGAGCTGGAAGGGACCTTCAAGATAGTCTTGTCCAATAGCTTCACTTTACAGGTGGGGAGACTGAGGCCTACATTAGTTAAGTGACTTGCCCAGGGTCACCCCAGTAGCAGAGCTAGTATTTGAACACAAGTTCTCTGACTCAGAATCCAAAACCCCTTTTATTATATCATCATGGTCTTGTAGGAAAGGCAGAACTTATATAGGAATTAGGGGCAAGTTAGACTGGACAGCCTTTGAGGGCTCTTTGAGTGTCATCTTATTCTGAAAAAGGAAGAATGACTTAGACTCGGGACACTTGGATTTGAAGACTCAAAAGCCTTGGGCCAAGTACCTCCTTTTCTACATCTGTAAAATGGGGATAATCATAGTCGTGCTTATCTTCAGAAAGGGCTTTTTAAACTGAAAAACTGTAGAATTAGGAGCTAGCAGTGACATTATTGATGCTAGAACCAAGTGTTTAGAGGAATTGGAATCTCTCTGGAGGTAAGAAGGTCATTAATTGCTTTTCTGTGGCATTTCATCGGTTATTCCAGCACCTGTATCCAAGGAATGCTGAATGAGCAAGGGTTCTTTATTAGTGTTTGGCACTGAGATCTGACCTACAGACGAAGGCCAAGTTTGTGGATGTGATACTATATAGAGTAGGCACTTTAAACTGGGAGTCAGAAGAACCAAGTTCTACTCCTGGTTCCAGTATTAACTGAGTGACCTTGCCTCTCAGGGTTGTTGTGAGGTTCAAATGAGATATTTGTAAAGTTCTTAGCATAGTACTTGACACATAATGGGTATTTAACAAATGCTTCTTTCCTTCCTTCCCACTCATTTACATGTTCTCTTCCCTATTAGACTGGAGCTCCTTGAGGGCAGGTGTCATGTTTTTGTCTTTCTTTGTGTTCCTAGCACTTAGTAGAGTGCCTATCATGTAGTAAGTGCTTAAATGCTTACTGGCTGACTCACAGATGCTTTAAGTGATTTGAGCCTTCTTTCTTGTGAAGGAAAGGCATGGTCCCTTGCCATTCCGGGATTTTCATAGATGAGAAAAAAAAGACTTGTAACTGGCTGTAACAATGTGTACAACTTCTCCTTGCCCTTTCCTATAATGTCAGGTATTCATGGTGACCCATCTCTGTTTCTTAACAGTTTGCTCTTTTCTATCACCTTGGGCTGGGTTAATCTCAGAGACACTGTGTGTAATCCTCTGGGGTCCTTGCCTTCAGATTCGAATCAAAGATCTTAGAGATGAAAATAACCTCTGTGGCCAAACCCAGTGAGTGGTCATCCACCATCTCCTGTAGCTCTTCTCCTTAGGAAGTTTTTCCTTATATTGACCCATAATTATCCTCTTTGAAACTTCTCCATATTGCTCCTGATTTTTTCCTCTGGGGCCAAATGGAAGGACAATCAAAGAGCCACTGAAAATGCTGCTGGGAGAGAGGGTACTGAATTGGCCCAATCCACATTTGAGGCTGATATGATGAGCTTCCAGATGGCCGTCTAGCCATTTTTGGCTCCTCTGTCTTGTAAACATTGAGAATGCAAGAGTCCTTGGCAGAATGATCTTTTGAGGGGTTCTCAGGAGGACCATGGCCGCTTAGCCCACCAGCCTTTGTAATAACAAGACTCTAGGTTAGCTAGTGAGCTATAACGAACATTAATCTGTGAACTCCATGTTTAATATAGATGCACAGTAAATAGCTCGTACGTGTGGTAAGGAACCTTGTGTGTGCTCTTGGGTTCTAATGGCAGATCTGATGCTTAGTACTGGGGTACTCTTGAACAAGTTCCTGCCTCTATGTCTCAGTTTCTCATCTGGAAAATGAGAGGGTTACATCAACTGGGGAATGGCTGAACAAGTTGTGGTATATGAATGTAATGAAATACTATTGTTCCATAAGAAATGATGAGCAGGCGGACTTCAGAAAAACCTGGAAAGACTTGTATGGTCTGATGCTGAGTGAAGTGAACTGAACCAGGAGGACATTGTACACAGTAGCAGCAACACTGTGCGATGACCAGCTTTGATAGACTTAGTTCTTCTCAGCAATGCAATGATCTAAGATGATTCCAAAAGACTCGAGAAAGAACTACGGAGTCTAATGCAGATCGAAGCATAATATTTTCTTTTTTTTTTCTTTCTTGTGGTTTTTCCCTTTTGTTCTGAGTCTTCTTTCACACCATGACTATTGTGGAAATATGTTTACTATGATGATACATGTATAACTTATATCAGATTGCATGCCATCTTGGGGGGGGCAGAATTTGGAACTCAAAATCTTATAAAAGTGAATGTTGAAAACTAAAAATAAATGAATAAAAATAATATGAGAGAGTTAGAATAATGGTCCCTTTAGGTGCTGAAAGAATCCCATAACCGGTCCAAGCAAGGCATAGGATTGTATTAGGAAAAAATTCTGAAGACATTACAGCTGTCCAAAAGTGAATCGGTAGTCACAGGAGGGGAGTGAGGTTTCCAAACAGACTGTGTAACCACATGGAGATGCTGGCCCTCTGAGATCCCTTTCCGCCCTGAAATATCAAGGAATCCCAGCATTTGATGGTTGGAAAGGATCTGGGAGGCCATTCATTCCAAGCCATTTGATGAGGCCTAATTTATTAAAGTGGTAGAAGGGCAGTCGGTGAAATGAGGAGAATCCAGAAGCTCGTCATTGTTTCCAAGCTCTGTGGGTCTGTTTTGCCTGCAGAACAACGTCGCTGAAGTCAAAGAATTGTCCTCTGAGCTGATGGTGAGCAGCTTGATGACCCATGTGAGCCGGTTACTTCACAGTGTGGAGATGGAAGTGAGCTACTTTGCAGCTGGCATAATTTCCCACCTCACCTCTCTGGGGGAGCAGGCGTGGACCCTGAGCAGCATCCAGAGGAGTGCTCTGTTAGATGACCTGGTAGGGAAGCCCCCCCTTGTGACCCAGAGGGCCTGGGCAAGTGGGCCCCGGGAGGCTGCCCGGGGCTGACACCTGCTTCTTCTTGTGTCTTGCAGTACATGACGGTGCTGAAGTGGCCCAGTCCGAGCTGTAAGATGGTGGCACTGGTGACCTACAGGTGATGGGGGGCTGGATTTATCCCTCAGGACATTAGCCTCCATTTTCCATGGTGCTCCCATTGTATGCTTGGCATGAGCCTAGCTAGGACTTTGGACCCAGGGCTTGTCACTGGCCCCATGACATGAAGGAGCTCATCGCACCACTTTTCACCTTTCGCTTTTCCATCTCAGCTGTGATAGTGATCATCGACCATCAAGTTCTTGTACATAAAACACTTTGTGGGAATTAAACACTGTAGGCATGCAAATGATTGTAAAATCACCAAATGTTGGCCTGATTTCTAAATGCCTTTCTTTGGAATCCACAGGTCCTTCAAATCCTTTTTTCCGTTACTTAGCAACTTCACGATTTTTGAGGTTCAGCTGTGGGCGCTGTGGGCCATGCACCATGTCTGCAGCAAGAATCGTACGTACTTGGGTGGGCTACATAAACCACATGCCTAGGATGATGCTTGCAGCCCTGACACCCCTTTAAACTTTGGAGGGGGGAGCAAGTGAGAGAGAAGCTGATGAGGTTTACCTCTCATCTTTCCTATCTCTGGATAATAGAATCTCTTTAGAAAGTTTTCTACCTTCAATTCGGCTTGGCAAATAAGAGAACCAGGCCAAAACAGACTGTATGCTGGAGGACTCAGCACCTTGGGAAATGGCAATGGCGAAGTGGATTCTTGCTGATTTTTCAATTCAGCCTTTTTCATTTTATTAGATGCCTACTATGTGCTGTTCTCAGATTCAAAGACAAAAATAAAATAGGTCCTGTCTGCAGGGCTCTTGCATTCTGCTGGGGGTGACCATCAGGATGCAACATTTTTGCTTACTTACCTTTGTGCTTAAAAATTCAAAAAGGAAGAAATGTCTGACAGGTGGGGGTGGGTGAAGGGAAGGTGTCTGGGCTCAGGAAGGGCTTTATTCTAGACGTGGAGGGAGAGAGCCTGTACAAAGACATGGGCATGGGAGAAAGGGGGAAATGGGGCAGGTGAGTATTGGGAACAAAGTAACAGACCATACCAGGTGGAACTTGTCTTGCCTGAAGGTATTGGTATGCAGCAAGCTTGGGAACGGGTAACATCAGCTTGTGGGGGGCATTGGGTGCCAGATCGAGACAGTAGGGTGCGATGAGCAGAGGGGTATGATGTGATCAAAGCTGTGTTGTAGGAATATGAGCTTAGCAGCCCCATGTGGGATGGACTGGATAATTGCAGGAGTCAGGGTGAGAGGTGATGAGGGCTTGACTTCTATTTTTAAAAGATGAAAGCAAAACACATTGACTAAGTGCTTTCTGTGTATTGGGCCCAGTATTAGTTGCTGGGGATACATGTAGAAAGGAAGAAACAACCCCTACTTGAAAAGAGTTTACATTCTAGTGGCTGGCAGGCTGGCTGACTTGTAAATGCACCTAGCATAAATAGGAAGTTAATATAAAGGAGTTAAAATCCCCTTGGTTTGGGGGTGTCAGGGAAGGCTTCATGCAGAAGATGCTTGAGTTGCATCTTAAAGCAAGAAAAAGAGACTCTGAGGTGCAGGTCAGGCGGGGGGTTCTGTGTGGTGCAAAGGCATGAAGAGAGGAACCTAGAGAAGGCCAGTTTGGCTCCATCCAAGAGTGCTCAAGGGAGAGTGAAGTGATGCGCTGGGAGACTAGAGAGGTCAGAGATGGGTTGGGGCCAGAGTGTGTGCTCTCCACCAGTGAGAGTGACTATAGCAGGACTAGAAAAGGCCAAGAAATGGGGAATAGGGAGTTGAGTTGAGAGCAGTCTGAGTAAGGAAGTAGTAAGCAAGCACTGAGTACTGAGCAAGTGGGGCAGCTTGGGACGCGCTGCCGTAACTGCCTTCCCTGACCGTCATTTCTCTGTTTGCTTCTCTAGCTACCAAGTACTGCAGGATGCTCATCGAGGAGGGTGGCCTGCAGCTCTTGCAGGATATCCGGGACCACATGCAGGCAGAGCCCCATGTGCAGCAGATCGCCGTGTCCATCCTCGTGGACTTTCACATGCATTTTCTGAACTACAAGAAGTCCCCTGGGTATAAAATGCCTCTTGAGACTTAAGGCGGCTTCCTGAGGAACTCTCACCCTCTGCCTTCTCACCTGCCTGCCTTGGATTGAATGTCTAAAGGGTGCTGCCTTTGAGTTTGTGAGTTGTCCAGACCGTTGACCTCGATCATTTGATTGTCCAGGTTTACAAAGGGGTGGCTTAGCACGGCTCAGGCACAGCCCGGAATCGCTGTCGGATGATTCCAGGGGCCGAGATGCGGTTCTGACTCTGGCTGTTTGCGGGAAAGAGAGCCACAGGCTTTCTCTGTTGACAAACTCCTGAGCTGGAGCCAAAATGATATTTTAAAATGTTATTGTTTACTCTTTGCAAGGCCACAATGCAAAGTGCCTGTTGGAAGGCTGAGTGTTTCCAAGCTGTGTGGAGACTGAGAATTATTTCCCAGCTTGGATTTGTTTGCTTGGTTGTCAGAGGGTGGGGGAGGTCCCAGGTGGCACAGAGTAGTTGGGCAGGGATGCTGGGGGACCCCACATTTTACCTTAAAGGCTGGGCTCCCAGATCACACCAGGACTGGAGTGAAGGGCCTTGGGGAAATCACCAGATAAATGTGTCGCTTTAGAAATAGAACCTTTGTTTGGCTTTCATTTTTTTTTTTAATAAAAAGTTTTTTAAAAAATAAAATGTCTCAGTTTTGAAAAATATGGAAGGGCCACCAAAGTCAACAGGAACTGTTTTTTTTTTCCTTTTTTAAGATTTGGCGGTATTTAATCTTTATTGCCGTTGTCTAGAACTTTAAAGGCCGCGTTGAATGAGGGCCTCAGGTGGGGGATCTGGATAACTGAGCACTCAGACACTGGAATGGGGCCCATGGTTCTGGTGGACTTGGAGCCCCAGCTCCACCTTTCTTAACTGTAGCTTTCAGCAAATCACCCGATCTCTGCTTAGTTTCTTCCTCTATAAAATGAGGACATTTCTTGCAGTACCTACTTCACAAGGTTGTTGTGAAGAGAGCATTTTGTAAACATTAAAGTGCTACAGAAATGCAAGCTGTCCTTATTCTATGTCATCACCCACATCAAGATGGAGTGGGAGTGGGTACAGGCTGGGGAATGGTGGCAGAAAAGAATGCCATGGTTTCCCAGGCCACCAGGCCAGGACTTTTTATCAGACTTCTTAGGAAAGGTGGTGGCTACCCCTCCTAGTTAGGTAATGAGCTCTCTTGTACTACTGGTCAGGACTGAAGGCTGAAAAGAGGGCCCTTAATCCCCTTCTCACAGGGCTGTACGTGGCGGAGGTGGACCTCGCCTCCAGGTCTTTGGACTCACGAGCCAACAAGCACCAGGTCACTATCCAGTGACCTGACATGGCCTTCAGTAACAGGATGGCTGACGAGGGGAAACAGCCTCCCTCGCCTCTCTCCCACAGCCCCCGACATTCTCCTCCTTGTGTAAACTGAGGTCTGTTTAACAGTCTTTATGTTGGTCCTCTGAGGTCCTTTCAGAGTCTTGATTATTGTGTGAACCATCCGTCTTTCTGTCCACTCCCAGCCTTCCAGACACTCACGAGTGCAGCTCGGTTGTCATCCTCCACTCCTTCCTCCCTCTGCCCAGTTATTGGCCAGATGGGTTTTGACTCCACCTCCTGTCCTTTTTATGCTCCCACCCACCTTGGGCCAAGCCCTGGCCCTCTTATTGGTCCCCCTTCTTCCTCCACAGGGCCTCTAAACTGAGGTTCCCAGAGCACAGGTCTAACCAGGTCGTTAGAGCTGCCATTCTGTTTGTCATTTAGTTATTTCCCAGGCTGGCCCCAGTCCATCTTTCCAGACTGATTTAATATTCCCCACTGATCCATTCCACAGTCTGGCCAAACGTCCACCTCCTGCCTCTCACAAACCGTTGTCTTGTTCTTCCTTCCTCCCTCACTTCATCAGATCACTCATGGAAGAGAAATGCACGTCAAAACAACTCTGAATGCCCCCC